AACATTCAATCTGGCTTAGAGATTTTGGTTTTCTCGTGGACATTACAGAGAAATTAAACGAACTTAATTTGCAGCTTCAGGGGAGGGACAAAGAACTAGCGGAAATGATTTCTGATATAAAAGCATTTATCAAAAAGCTGGAGTTTTGGGAACAAAACCTAATTAACAGCGATGCCAAGCATTTTCCTATTCTTTCAGAAAAAATATCTCAAAATCCATTAGAACCCTATGACAACAAATATCATGTAGAAATAATTTCTACCCTGAAGAATAACTTCAAAAATCGTTTTAAGGATTTCAATGAAATGACTTTAGTAGCGCAGTTTGTTGTTTCACCCTTTATGGAAATTGATATCCAACAGTTTGCAACTTGTGTTATGCAGTACTTTGGCGAAAACATCGCTGCAACAGAAATGGAAGTCATTGAGTTTCAAAATGATTTAACCTTAAAATAAATACATATAATGATAAATTAACTGTGGATTATTTCATTTACGTTGCGTTACGTGGCTTCCGTGTGGGTAGCTCGCTGTTTATTCCAAAATTAACAAAGTAGCTCAACACATTGAAGAGGTTGGCGACCACTGCCTTAGATCATCTGATATGACGCTTCTAGATGTTTTTGAGATACGTGACATCTGAATTGTACGATATTTCAAAAACTATTCAAAAAATTCACTCACCTGTAGGGCCAGTCTTTGGTTACACAGGAAACAATCACGAAGGCTTTGCCTTTGTAACCGATAATCTCTATGGAGGGGTAAGTCTTCTTTTCGTGGGTACTGTTGATACCAGGAATGGACCCTACAGATTTACCCTCGCATTCGTATCTGAACCTGATGGCTTTGTGGGCTGGCTGTTCCACTATTCTTACGTATGGTGGTTGCATGCTGAATGGTAAAATATTAGAAAATTATGTGTCTTCCTTGCAATCAACCATAAAGTAGAGCTATTCGGATTGTTACATCATTTTCATATCTACTACCACCTACCACTTACTATACATAGTGACTTCTCAAAATGCCAGGGAAAGATCTACCAGAGAAGAACAACAACATTGAGTCGAATTGTGAGAGTTGTTTGCAGGAAGGACGAAATTTGGCCGGAAAATCATTGCACAAATGATGCAGAACGCAGTGGACGTCCACATGACGCACTAACACCAGGAAACAAAATAATAATTCACAAAATCGTTTTGTATGATCAAAAAGTGAAGTTGCTTGAGTTAGCTGACTTAGTAAAGATATCAAAAGAACGTGTTGGCATTAGATTGTATACTCATCGACTATCTTGAGAAGGAAAAAACCATCGACAGATAATATTATACAGCGTTATTGAAGCGTTTGAAGGCCGAAATTGCGGAAAAACGACCCCGTTTGGCAAATAAAAAAATGTTGTTTTACTGCTTAGAGGATAACATGAACATTTTCCAAATAATCTAATCATATTTCATTCACCAGTCATTACTAATTTTTTGAAAAAGCTGAGAGAGTAATCTGGAGATGAGATTCATCTTTATTGTAAGTTTTTATATAGGATAGGAGGGAGTACACCCAGCAACTTTTATATTTTTGTATTATTGAATTTATTGCAAAGACATCCATTGCTACTGTCTCTGTAATTCTAGACTTTACTGACCACCATATAAAAGAACAATTTTCTACAAATTATAGGGTTGGTTTTGTATAGATTAGTCATTACAAAATATTAGAAAATTACTAAAAACAGATTTTTGCTGTTGTGCAATTTTGCAAAAAAAAACTTTCAGATGTTTCACGCTACCTTATCGCTTCCTGGAAATCACTGCACCCATTTACAGGAATATTCCACTGTGGGACAGGTTGAGGTGTGAAGTACTCTCCTTCCAGCTCTGCCATGTTGCTGTTTTCGTTCTCTGACAGGATAATTTCGACTGCAATATAATTTCAATATTGTCAAAAAGATTTCAAGGCGTTTTGATTTTTTATCTATTAATAAAAATAACAATAATAAATTTTATTAATCCCAAGAAACATTACATGTTTATGGTAGGGACAATGTAACATACNATCAATTCCTATTTTTTTGCGCATGTGTAACCATTTTCCCATATCTTTTTTCTTAGTGCACTGAATACCCAGACTGGTGAACTCAGCGGTCATGGTATCTGCAGAGATTCGAAAAGTGCATACTCCTAGATCGCATCCTACCTTCCCTATCAAGTTATAAGGATGGACCCTGAAAATTTACATCAGAGATTATTTGTAGAGAGATTCTGGAAGAGATTCTTCCTGATTGTAGTGAATAACATGCCTGCGCATGTCGTTCCGTGTTGATAATACAAGAAAGGCGAACCGCCATTCTTGAATACGAAAGTCAAATTTGTATTTATATTTTGAAAAATTCCATGTCGCCAATGAGGTTATGTATAGGATCTTCCAACAAGGGCTTCCGAACTTTGACAATTGATAACAGTCGTCTCATCGAAGGTACATCTGTCAAATTGGTCGTCATTTATTCAGTCTGTTTTGCCAAATCAACACGGATGTTCAAATGCCCGTGAAAATAATACATTTATTTTATCAGAATGGGTATTTATCCACCACACAGCTATTCGCTGTGTGGTTGATAAATTTGAGTTCACTAGTGAACACACACATTGTTTAATTCAAATTTAAAGATAGGAAGCCCTTAATGAAAGACCCTATACATACAAAATACATAAGTCAAACTCTGAATTTCAGTTTTATAATTAAGAGGCGATGATTGCCTTCTAGATCCACGTGTCATGTTTTCCTTTCTGTTTTGTTTGGTATTCTATCTGATGTAATGTTCAAGAAATGGTTTTGTGTGCTGCATAACTGCTACAGTCCACTTGACAAATGACGTTCGTATGCAAAAATGGCAACCCCGCAAACTTGCAATGTCAGTCGGCTCACTCTAATCGTATAGTTTTCATTTGGTACCTAATAACTATAATGAAATAGAAAAGATATTCACCTATAAGGATAGTCCTTTGTCACACAAGAAACCACCACCACTGCGTTTCCTTGAAAACCTTCCACTTTGATGGCAGGAAAAGTTTTTTTCTTGGGCGTGCTGTTAACTCCGGGTATGGATCCGGTCGACCTACCCTCGCATTCGTACCGAAATCTCAGAGACTTAGAGGCGGGTTCTTCCAGTATTTTCACGTAAGGCTTCGCCCTGAAATAGAAAAAGTATTACAAACTACAGTATCGTCCCCTGGTGGCGGACAGGGGAACGGCCAGGGGAAGCCAATGTGACCGTGTCCGGGAAGCTAATGTGGCCTTACACGGGGTCGACGGACTCCTGGTCAGTGGCAGAAATAAGTAGGGTGAGAGGAACTAAAACTTCCCAAAAGACTTTGCGAAATATGCCACCAGGGACCAGCTTACCCAAGATAAGGTGTAAGGAATCGTGCCGACAGCTGAATGGCCGCAGGGTGGTATGCGCTACGAACGATCCCCTTGGGGAACTGGGAGAAACTTCATTGTGATCAGCCTACTTCTGGTAAACCGGGGCTCTGTCAGAAGTGACAAACTCTTCCCTTGCTACTCTTGGGAATACACATGAATGAAATAAACACGAAAACAGAAACAACAAGAACAAAAAACAATCCCTAGGCTGGACCGAAGTGCTCATCTCAATCTAAGGCCGTGGCTGGAGATGAACAGAAATGTCCACCCCAATCTACCGCTTGGAATGAGGCTGGACATAGCAGATCACCTCGTGATGTGATACAAAGGCCAAGGCGTAAGCGCATTTGCGGTGCCGAGGCCAAAAGGAGAAAGAGAGCGGAAGAGGTAGGAGTTGCAGCAACTATAAGTGCACCTTCCTCCTTCCTTATTCCACCTCCAACAGCAAGGGCACTTCCTACGACGGGCGCCAAGAGCTCCAACTTGAATAAAGGCAAAGAACCGGCGGCCTCTGCAGGAAAGCTTCCTCACTCGCGCACCTCTACGGAGGGAACCCCAAGAAGGTTAAAGAAGCCGCGCAGCGACAGTAATGTCGTTACACCTTCCAAAACTTTCGCGGAGGCCACCGTGAGACACCTCGAGGTTGCCAAAAAGAGAGTGTGTATTCGGCGAGTCTTGGCCTACACTTGCCAATATAAATGAGATGTCTCCTAGAGACATGATGGACGATGACTTAGGAAGACACCTCTTCGGGAGGAAGTACAATGGGTCACATGTGGCCAAGTGCTGTGGGTCAAAACTCACCCTCCTCACTCTACAGATACTATATTGTGTAGGAATCTTGTGAATTATATCTGATTCAATTCTATCTCGTAAAAGTCCTTGTACCAATACAAGTGGTATAAAAACATAAAAAGTTTTATTTATTTCTCATTTGAAAATATCGAATTTTAAATTATTGATAATTATGTTTTCATAAATACTTAATAAACATTATGAAGCGTGTTTTTGACCGGGACTACCGATTGACCTTTCACCTCAAAAACGATTCAACGTATAAAAAACGTTTAAAAAATTTTGCAGGGAATTCAATTTACAGTATTGTCAATGTATATAANGAGTTCTTCTTCTAGACACTTTGACTGGTTTTCAAGATTGTTCTTTGCAGCTCGCAATAAATCGATCTCCTCTTTCATCGAGCAGTTCGAATCAACTTCGTTTTGGAGTTGGCTGAAAACAATTTAAATGTTGAATATTACTGGAAACTAGAAAAACAATTTAATGAATTTGACCAAACATTTACAAGATTAAAGTATCCCTGAAACAAATGAAAAGAAAAATCGAAATTTGTTATATCTTTAATCAGTGTTATTGATCTTGATGAGTTGTATGTTAAAATAATTAGTTTGTCTTGTATCAATTAATTTATTGGCCTCAGCTTCCTGTGACCCAGAACATATTTAAACTTTCGAATTTGTTGTACGTTATAGATGAAAATTACAGAATAACAGAAATGAAGACGTATTCAAAAAACACGCTGTATAGTGACATCCAAAAATGCTACTGTTTTAAATAAGTGAGTAATCAAACTAATCAATGAATCTATTTTTAGTTTATACCAACTTCATAACCAATACGTCATTTTTTTTTATTATTTAGGATTTCTTTTCGAAACATTTTTTTAGGGAAGATTCCTAACAAAACTACCCACATCAAGGTTTCAAATCTACAACTCAACAATGGCTCAAAATTCAGCAAAATGGAAAGATGATGACCTATATAGTAATAATAATCGTCTTTATTATTTTCAAAAAANGAGAAGCTGAAGTAAGGTATCCACAAATAGACAAGCAGTTAGTAGGCATTTGTTTTGCACTAATGGCAATTTATAACACAGATTTTCACAAGATGAGCAAAAGATTACAAAAATTGAAGCTCAAACTGCCAAAATGTGGTTTCACTAGAGTGTAATGAATATTACTGGCGTTTTTTCCCAACATCAAATCGTTATTTTCAACACCTCGACACGTGTTTCGATTATCAAGTGATCATCTTCAAGAGGAAGATAGAACAGTTTTATCTTCCTCTTGAAGATGATCACTTGGTGATTGAAACACGTGTCGAGGTGTTGAAAATAACGATTTGGTGTTGGTAACGATTTGGTGTTATTCCCAACATCAAATCGTTATTTTCAACACCTCGACACGTGTTTCGATTATCAAGGGATCATCTTCAAGAGGAAGATAGAACAGTGTTATCTTCCTCTTGAAGATGATCACTTGGTGATCGAAACACGTGTCGAGGTGTTAAAAATAACGATTTGGTGTTGGTAACGATTTGGTGTTGTTCCCAACATCAAATCGTTATTTTCAACACCTCGACACGTGTTTCGATTATCAAGGGATCATCTTCAAGAGGAAGATAGAACAGTGTTATCTTCCTCTTGAAGATGATCACTTGGTGATTGAAACACGTGTCGAGGTGTTAAAAATAACGATTTGGTGTTGGTAACGATTTGGTGTTGTTCCCAATCGTTATTTTTAAGACCTCGACACATGTTTCGATCACAGGAAGATTAAACTGTTTTATCTTCCTCTAGAAGATGAAACACGTGTCGAAGTGTTAAAAATAACGATTTGGTGTTGGAAAAAACTCCAGTAATATTCATTACTACACCAAAGGTTCCAAACAGTACATCATAAGAGTTCAAATGTTAATGAACTGTAATATAGTCGAGACAAAATAGACATTTCAGTTTGCATTGATTCCCAACAAGCTGGATTTTTGTACAGACCTCAAATATATTGACCTAATTGGAATGTCAAAAGTCTCCACCGATCCCACTTGAGCATTGCTTTTCATTCGAGGTCTAGTGTCATACATTTTTGTTATTTTTGCGTATATTTATTGAATCTTGAGAGCTACCGGAAAAATGGAAAAATCGTAGATCGTAGATTTTGTACAAAAATGGTTTCAATACTTTTTTCTCAGGAAGCACAGTTCTTGAGTTATCGCGATTTCAAACCCAAACGATTTCCTTCGTTACCAAGTGACGGGTCCTCAAATTTACAAAATGAAAAATGTTATTCTTTGGTAACTTTTCAAGTGAATATTCAAAATTAACCAAGTTTTGGTGACTGACTGAACAAATGAATTGCTTTGATGAGCTTTTATGCAGGAGTCAGTTGTTTTGCTACAAAGTCAGGAACGGATTACTCCCGATGCCTCATCCACTGTATTCACCAGATTTGAACCCCTGCGACTTTTTCTTGTTCTTAAGATTGAAGAGACCCATGAAATGACAGCGTTTAGCGACAATCGAGGAGATAATAACCTCAAGGACATACCAAGAGAGTTCAAAGGCATACCAAGAGAGCTCAAAGACATACCAAATAGTGCATTTCGGAACTGCTTTGAGGATTGGAGAGGACGCTGCCATAAGTGCATTTACCTTATTTTTTAACATACTTCGTATATTTTTAGCGGTTTTATTCCTCAAAAGCCTAGGCTCACACAAAAATGCGTTATTTTGATGACATTTCCTAAAAAATGTTGTCAATATTTTTCTATTCTTTTTGAAGGAATCGGTTGTTCGAAATTTGTTCTATGGCAGAAAGTTACAGTGTTAAAGACGCCTACTTCTTCTTGCACTTCAGTACTACATTTATTCAGTACTCATTTCTCATGATGATCCCCTAACACTTAGTAAGAACATCTAAAATCTTCGAAAATATAAGTTTTTATACGATACGCACGATTTTGAAAGAAAAACGAACATCTATTTTAACTTTAGCAGTTCGTTCTCAGGAGCCGATAAATAAAAAGATATCAAGAAAAAATATGATACACGTTTACTTACTGTAGTATTTCCGAAAATTGTTCTTGTTTCGTCTTCAGATTCGTTTCGCTGTTTTGCAAGTTCCTCTCCGACATTTTCAGCGCCTCCTCCAAGCTGCTGATGGTCGATGCCTGATTCAGCAGTTCTTGTTCTTGCGATGATACCTGAGAAATATTTTACAGAGATAACGTATGTCTTGAAAGCCCACTGTACCTTATCTGCTGAATAATATGTCCTCAGAGTAGCTGAATTAAATAAATTTTCAGTAATTGTAACTCTCTTACAGAAAACAAATGGTAAATATCGATGGTATACTGAGTAATCAAACAAAAGTTACGTGTGGTGTCCCGCAGGGAACAATCTTGGGCCCGGTTTCATTCACCATATACATCAATAGTTTGTTAACACTACAATCAGCAGGTGAAATTTTGAGTTTTTTCGATGATACAGCTGTAAAGTATAAGTCAAACACGTGGGAACAACTCAACATGAAAGCCGAAGTGGATTTCAACACAATCGTCAGGTGATTTGAACATAACAAATTAGCATTGAATGGGGACAAAACCAAATACTTCTCATTCACCTCCTGAACTGATAATCTTCAAAATATGGGCCCTTCAAAAATAAACGAGGAAACTTCAATATCGGAGGCCACTACAATCAAATGTTTGAGAGTGATTCTAGATCGACATATGAAATGGGATCTACATATATGTCACATTTAACCAGAAAATTAGACGGATTTCTATCACGTTTCAAATTCTTATAAAAAATTCTCGAAATCCCCCAGTTAAAAACAATTTACTGTGGATTAGTACAATCACAACTTAATTATGGAATTATAGCATGGGGCTGGGTGTTGATTCATTATTATATTTTGTTTTATGTTCACATCGCCAAGAATGAATTGAACTAATTTTGTATATTCAGTTCCATTTTCAATAAGTTGGCTATACCACACACAAGAAACTTTTTTGAAGTTTCTTCCATGGTGCCTTGTTTACTTTTTTTTCAGTAATGTATTAGTAATAGGTTATTTGCAATTGTAAGTATATTATGAATATAATAAACTTCATTATTATTATTGATAACTGTAAATCCTGTCAGATTGTTTCTATCATGTCTGTTTAAAAAAATCTGTTTATGTTTTCAACTTCTCTTCTTTATTGGCCGATGCTTCCTGTTCAGGCGCAATTGGGCTGTTTTCAACTTGTTTTTTGGGCACGGTTGATATCGTTTTAAATTTGTTTAGTGTTTTTTTTGTATTTTATGACACAATAAACACTTTTTATTATTTGACATTGGATTTGAATCGCCGGAGATCAAATACATTTTGAAAGACGTTCTCAGTTTATTCCACATAAACCCAGTTCTCGAAAAGAAAGAGTTTGTACTTTACTGTAATTTTAGAGAGATGATTATTTTGTGTCTGAAAGAACAAACAGGAGAAAAACCGAAGAAAAGTTCTCTGAGAAAAAAATTTGAAAATATTTGAGTCAGCCCCCGACAATTCTTATAGAAACATTTAAAATTCATATTGTTTTACTCCAGTTTTTCAGTGAAATAGTACAGACCGAAAATGAACCAAAAATTCAACTTTTAACCATCGAAAATAAACCATATTATATTCAAAACTGCTATATAAATAAATCAAAACATTTTTATCGAAACCGACAACAAAAACGACCCGATCCTAATTCAACAATTTTCCTGATGTGAAATACCTGTCGAAATTATCATGAAGACCACGCATTGTCATGCAAATCAGCTATAGTAGGAATTCCCCAACTGTTATGAATGGAGATGAAAAGAAACGCTGCATTGCCCATCTCTGTCGAAATTTACGTGGTGACACTGCTAAGATCCTTCCGAGAATTCCCTCAGAGTTGGGATTTCCCAACCGACTCATATAATTTGTTTGATGATCTTTTTGTCTGTCCATAATATTTTGCATCGCAGTCCTTACATTCAATTTCGTAAATTCCAGACTTTTCCGAATTCTCGACTTTGTCTTTTGGACTTCCGAAAAGGCTTTGTAGTGAATGACTTGTTTTGAAAACCATCTTTAGGGAGGTATACCTGTATGGGTGGTATACCTATATGGTTTACCTGTATAGTATACCTGTAGCATAAATAGCGTTAGCTTAGGAAAGTTTCCAGTTTATTCTTACTCTTGAAGATGATGATGACAATACAATTTAATACGTTCTGTACCATTGTAAATTCAAGATGGCCACAGCTACAAAATGGCGTATTACATATTTGTTCACAACTACCTCAATATGGGTATCAAATGACATGACTTGACTAGTACTTTTGAAAAAAACTGTTTTTCCGTTTACCAGCTGTCGCCCTTTACGAACGACAACTTTCAAAAGTCGAAACTTGTGCGAGCTAATGACCAACGAGGTCTTACCTTTCAATGTGTGATTCTCAACACGGTACTAAAGTAGTACACTATAAAAAAGATGAAAATCCAATATAATTTATACAAAGAACTTTGTCAACTCAGAATCAGGATGCAAGCATGGATCTCACACCCAAGTCAAGATTTTGTACATCTCATCCACCCTGAATCCATTCAGTTTTCAGCAAAGTTCAATTATGGTACGGTTGAAAGAAGGACGTTACCCTTGATTTTGTGATGGGCTTCCACTGTTCACAAATTGCAAGGCAGCACGGTAGACCACGCATTGTGGACAGCAAGATAGGTTTATGAAGCTTTGGTATTTTTACAAACTGAGTATTTCAAAGATGATTAATATTGTCCTTAGATTTAGGAGCATTAGATATCGCTAGTAGGATGCCTAATCTATTTCCGTACACTTGCTGTACACGGCAGTCTTCTTCTTCTTCTTCTTCTTCTTCTTCTTTTAGGCGGCGTTTCCATTCTGCTATGGAGTTTTTACTGATATATATTTTTCAGCACTCAACATGCACATTCACAGAAGTTGAAGTATTCAAGAATTCTATGTGACCATCATTTCTTTCGATGCTTGCAGTTTTCAAGCCACGCGCTACACTAATAGAATCACCTTCTCACAAATTAAACACAAATTAGCCATAATGTTAAAAATTGTACGTTCGTCGTTTCAGAAATTTAAACCAACAATAAATTCAGTCAATAGAAAGTGGTCCCTCGAAAAATAAACCAGTCTACACAACTACGGAACATCTGGCTCATGAACTAACTAATCGTATACATCATATAGATCGTACTATGTAGGGGTCCCCATCCTCAGAGATAGATTCTATTCATTGAAGAAGGTCATATTATTAGATAATGAAACATGCAAATTGATGTTAATTATAATGAATTAACTAATAAAAAATACAAATTTATTATTTTAACAACTTATACAAGGTATTATTTACTGAGATGCACGGTTGATCTTGCATTACAGAAAGTCGTCAATTTCAAAAACGGTCGGGTGTATGAAAAACATTTTCAAACAAAATTTGTCACAAATTTAATGCTCTATACTTTTTTTACATGAATTAAAAATCATTGAAGCTATAGAGACGAAGATAATCGCGAAAAACTGATTTTTATGACCTTTGACCTTCAATAACTTACGGCGCAGAGACGATATTTTATGAGACTTTTGAGACAACTTTCAGAACACCAATATGAAGGTGTATACGAGTTTTGAGTTCTTTATCCTTCATTTCAAGGTCGAACTTTTTTTTGCTTACTTGACCGGACTAATAATTTGACTCCAGAGCGATTGTTCCTCCAATCTATGTCGATACTGATCGGGGGGTATCTTCTTTGAAAGAGAAATACAGCAAGGGTTTTTACTCCAATCTATGTCTCAATTTTTAGACAATTTCAAACACAAACTACTTTTTCAAAAATCGATATGTTAGAAGGTCACCTTATTCAGGGTAACAAATAAACTTTGTAACACATGTGACCAAATTTGAAAAACATACATTTAATATGACACTTCCTTGAAAAAAATAAATCTGTGATGGAACAATGTGAAAATAATGCATAAACTAGGCAATAATTGGTGGGAAATATAGGCATTGTTAACGATTGCTATTACTTTAATTGAACACATTTTATTTTTACATCTGTTTTTTACTATTTATGTTATACAAACTCTCCATTGCGTTTGGGAAATTTTAACCACAAATCGATTTCTTAATTAATAAATATTACTGAAACGTTTATGGTTCAAAATGATACCTGCATACTGATGTTTTTCAAGAGTTTTTGAGCTAATAAAATATAGACCTCAGTAACAATGTTATGCGGCCTAAAGTTAAAAGGAGTTCAACTCCTCCGGACTTTTCCTAGGTATCATCTTTTTATGATGGCCTTGTTTACTGCTGATATTGCATCCATTTTCACAATCATCAATTTTCAGCAATATTTCATTTTTACTTTTCATATACGTTAAAACAATTGATTCATCATTGAAAAACCTTGACGACATACGCCAGAAGTGATGACGAGGATACATGTAAGAAATCGGTTTAGGATTTCACATTTTCACCGAAATTATCGGATGGAAGAGCAATATCTGCCTTGATTTTTCATGTGCAAATGTTGAATTCTGTCATTTGTTAGGTTAGGTTAGTATTTTTTGCACTGAGTAACCTTTGGAAGAAAACGTTCATTATTATTATTATTAACCATTGTACGTTATGATGGTTCAGATAAAAGTCTTTGGTCATTCCGACCTGATATATTTTTAATTAATTGGAAAACATATCTACCGCAGAAACCCCGTAAATCGTAGGCGATTAAGGAAATAATTGATAATTCCATATAAAATAACTGGGTTTTTCCGCAAAGCTTCCGTTAAAAACGGAATAACCTAACCTCACCACAAACGAAATTGAATTTTTCACGTTTCATAAATCATGTCAAATACCGATTAATCATTAGGAGTATTTTCCTCATGAAAATTCATGTCACGGTCTAGAAGAATATTAGCGACCATGTACTGGATAATATTTCATAATTCAATTCAGTTTATTGTCCCAATAAACAATTAATGCTTATTTATAACTAGGGACTCTATCTAACTATAAAGTATAATAAGATAACATATCTTGAAAAAAAGCAATGAAATGCAGCCAAATATGAAATTGGTTACACCTGTTTAAAATCTGTTTTTCCGTTAATCAGCTGTCGCCCCCATACAAGCGACAACTCTGAGAAGTTGAGAAACTTGTGCGAGCGAAGGACTAACGAGGTCTTACCTTTAACGTGTGATTCCTAACACGGTTACAGAAAGTACATATTGAAAAGTGTAATGAAAAAAATGCTAACTATGAAATTCCATCAATTAGATGTTTTTTCAATTGATATTTAAATTTTGTGATGGAATCGTGCTTCTTTATTTTCTCTGGAATTGAATTATATACAGGGTGTTTTCTAAGTACGGTACGAAACTTCAGAGGGTGATTCGTTAGGTCGTTTTAAGAAAAAAGTTCCAATGGCCGGAGTTACTTCCTTTCTGAGTTTCAGGGCGTAGAAGTTTAAAAATAACGGTATTTATGAATTATCATAAATATCCTTACACCGATTTGGTTGAAATTTGCTACAGTTATTTTAAGTAATAAGGCGCTTATTTAGCCCGAACTAGATTGAAATTATTAGTTCCAGTGGCGTCTCAGTGGGCACCACAGCCAACAATATTGAGAAAAAAAGAACGCCACTGACATTTTTGTAGTTTTTTATTTTTTTCAAATCAAGCAACTAAAAAAACTTTATTGTCGCTTGTGTTTTCTTCATATCAAGCTTTGTTTTCGAGAAAAAAATCACTTCTAAAAACTATTCATGGACAACATAAAATAAAAAGCAAAACAGCAATCGATTGCTTGACATGTTCAAGAATACCTGGACTATTCCTTATGACATTGCGATTGTCAATTATTGGATTCCTCAAGTCATTCACATCTAGTATAGGAATTTTATAAACAAGAGTCTTCAGACGACCCCATGAACAGAAATCTAGAGGGTTTATATCAGGACTGCGAGCTGACCAATTTTTAAGTTTGCACGTCCAATCCAGCGATAAGGGGAAGTTATGTCGAGATATTAACGGCTGATTAACGGAAAAACAGATTTTTTAAACAGATTAACGAGCAAGAACACTAAAATGAGCTGGAGCTCCGTCGTGCATAAACCACATGTTGCCTCTTACAAGTACCGGCACTTCTTCTAACAAAATAGGTAAATGATCTCGCAAAAAGTCCGTGTAGGATTCATGTGTTGATCTTGTTGATAGAAAAAATGAGCCAATTGTTTGAAAGCACTTCATTCCATTTTTTACACAAAATTTGATGCAAATTTTGATCCTTTTTTTTCGATAGCTAAAAATCGCCGAATACTCAAAACGCTCCTTACTTTCATGCCTCTCACCAACGAACTAAACATGCTAGACAGCAGAAACTGAACATATGTTCCAAACAAGTGTATCAACCTAACAAAATCGCTAATCAAATTTACGTAGCCCGCGAAATTCCTTTATTTTTTAATAGATCTCGTAATGTAGCATGAAGCGTATATCACACCAGTTTACAGAAAATTTACGTTTGTAATGTCACAGGCAGTTCTTTGTTAATTTTCGGTCCCCAAATACGAAAATGATAGTAAAAATCCCCTAACTATCCCCTAACTATCACAATCTACTGTTCAGAGAATTGAGAGTCATAGATACAATTCCTCCGAAAGGTGCCTTTGTGAGTGACCTCATTCAGGACCAAAAGATCGCCAAACCAGAGAAAACAAATCTCTCCAGCTGCATGAGTCATTCTGCTGTTTTCACCCCATCCCACCCCCCTTCGTCAGAAGGGTGATTCCGGGAAAATCTGTTTCCAGACTTTCCGTCGCCTCTCCGCTGGATTACGTCACCCTAATCATTTTTCCGCTTTTCCGGAAATTCGTTAGAGATGATGAGTAACGCCGGTGACTGTTTTCTATTTTCCTATTTGCTTGTCACTCGATATCGCTTTGGGTAAATCATCACTAGGAAATCGAACCCGAGGTAAATAACTACAGAATTAAAATAGCTGGTTATCTTACAATTCCCTTTCCTCGAATACGATCGCTACATAGTATAAAACAAAGTCGCTTCCCGCTGTCTGTCCCTGTGTATGTTTAGATTTTTAAAACTACGCAACGGATTTTGATGATGACTTTTTTAAATAGATGAGAGTGATTCAAGAGGAAGGTTTATATGTATAGTCTATCCATTCCCAATTGGAACGGCAACAAAAATAAGAGCACTACGAGGGGTGTTCATAATCACTGCCCGGCAAATGGGAAATGTATATACTACCAGTGCTTTCATGTTCAAAGCGTCCCTGGTACAGTCATAAACATTTCTTGTCTGTGGCCCCTAGTCGCCCAGATAGTTGGTAAACGTGCTATCAAATGTAGTTGAGGAATAAAGGCTCGGCTAGCTGGACTGGCTGAATACATAGGACGAAACTGCAGTAACGTTAATTACAAATACAGGTGGTAGAAAAACATAGTTTTTCATTTTTCGTGATGATCTCCTACCACGTAGTAACGGCTACATCCATCAATTTGGATTTCCGTTAAAAATGTTTTTTGCTGCTACTAAGTCAGAAGTGAGTTCTTGGGAACTCGTAAATAACTGTTATATGAGATATTTCCAGAAATAAAGTTGAAAAGATACACCATAAGGGATGCCATCACTATTCCTTGTATAATTTGGCTTGGACTCACGAATACTTCATCTATGGAATTGACAGAAACTTTGCTTATCCAAAATGAAGAAGAGTCCCTTCTGCCCTCAATTGCAAACTTGATGAAAACGCACATCCCAATAGTAGCAGATTACAGCCGGTTCTGGGCCTCCCCCCACCACTGTAACGTATTAATTGCTTTTTTGTTGTTGTTTAGTAACATCAAGGCGATGTGACCTTGAAGGGTCTGGTGCATGGATTGTTCAGAAAATTGTTCAGAATTTTTTTTCATATGAGATTTTGTGTGTGTGTGTGTGTGACATAGTGACGTAATTATATTTGATTGGTCTATGTGTGTGCGTATATGTGTGAGAATGCACGGTACAGGGTTTCATCATGTGCTTGTCTATGTACAAACATACGTCGGCATACTTCGAAGATCCTTCAAGTAATAAATGTTCCATCGGTGTAAGCATACCAAGTCAGTTTTGGTTTGANTGTGTGATCTCGTGCCTGATCGAAATTAATGGGATGAGGATTAGCAGTTGAGTACGAAGCAGAATGAGTCATCCGCCGTCGGGAATAGGCGTCGCACGAGAAAACACCTAGCGTCGGGAGGTCTGCATGCACACTTCGGAACGCTTGTTGTTAAATAATAGATTACGATAAACTTCCGCACAGGGTGAAAGTACGAAGTGTACGGTTGTTTGGGAACAGCAAGTAAATCTATAACGAAACCTCTGAAAATTGTACAAAACAAAATTTGAACCGTCTATAAATTCCCATATTTGGAACACACATTGAACTTACTGCATGGGCTGAAAAGTATGGGGATTGGCACATAGATGGCGCTGATCTAATTGCATTCAGTGCTTTTTCAGTTAGTACGAATCCTTGAAAGGAAGCTGTTGAAATTTCATGATATTCTTCCCATAAGTTTGTGAGTTATTGTGCTAAGAGTGACACTACGTTTGTTATTTTCAACATAATGGATGAAAAATCAATTTAATATTTCAATTTTACACTGCTTCTTGATGGGAAACAACAATTAAGCGTTGGTTTGCTGACTTCAAACATGGTCGTAGAGACACCAATGATGCAAAATGCAGTGGATGTCCAAATAACGCAGTAACGCTGTAGTAGAAGAGCATTTGACTATGAGAAAGCTCTGTTCTAGCTCACAATCAACCAACAACAATAACGAATTGATGATTGTACGATATTCAAGATACAGCTAAAAGAATATATTTTGAAATAGATTTACAATTTTGTAGTTTTACATATTTTTATTTGTTGTACTATTCTCAGTAAGCGCGCTTTCGCTAGCAGGCTGTACCATCATCTTCATGGCTCTACTCAAACTGAACGTTTTATCTTCTTGTTTGTTCTTTTATGCGGTTAGAACACCCCAGTGCATGAATAAACCACTCTCAACAAAACCATCAACACTTCTAATTCACCTCATTTTTTTAACATATCTCTTTAGGTCAATAGTAAGTGGGTCTCTTCGACTCTCCACCGCAAAAATTGAACATATCTCGTACATGCAACCATAAAAAGTCTATTAGGATTTGTTATATCAAATCATAAAGCAATATTAAACGTTTGAAATAAATACTACATTTTTCACTTTTAAACCGACCCAATTATGTACGCCAATGGAACAGCAACTTGGAAATAATTTATTACTCCGCTCTGCTTGAGGAAATAAGCAGCACCTAATTCTGTAATAAGTTGAAACAAATATAGCATAATTGGTGAGTAGAGTTTCAATATCAACTTGAAAAAAAAAAAAAGAAAAACCATACCTTAGCCTGCAAATCGAGTTTTTCCTCTTTTCGCTTCTTCAACAGACTTTCCAGTTTACCGACTTGATCAGAACATTTTTTCAAGTCGCATTTGGCGAGCTTCAAATTTTTCTTTGCGTTCATCAACTCTTCTTGAGTATTTTTCAATTCCTGTAAAGAAATGAACTGACATGAATGAGGATAAAGTATATACTGTGTCGAGTGTGATATTATTTTTCGGATCTCATTTTATTTCTTAAAAAAATATTCGTGAATTGTCTTCAAAGATTTTGACTTTGAAAGATGAATAGATTTCTGGAAATCTGGATCTCATGGATTCACATGCTACTTCCAGAAAATGATTATTTAGTATACACCTCAGTGATTCCTCAGTTGTATCGGTTTGTAGCCTACCCACATGTTAAGTCACAAATTTTGGAACACCCCTCACGGAACTATTTCTATACTGTTTTTTTGAGCCAGATTCCAGTTATCATCCAGTGTCTCGCACGGTACTGCATTCGCTTTCCTGAAGACTAGAAATATCTGTTTGTATATCACTATTGATATTCATGATTTCATTCCATTTCATTTTGCTTTCTTCCTGTGTGATTCCTAATGCAAAATCACTTTTTTTATTATTTTGGAATTCACTTTTTTACTTTTCGAGTTTATTGTTTGTTCCACAACTTTTTTATGAGCAGACTCGTGAGTATTAGTGACTGTTTTTTCCACACAATCACTTTTTGTTGGAAAGGGTATTGCAGTTTTTATCGCAAGCGAGTTCGTTTTTAACGAAATCATTTCAGTAGTTGAATATATTTTTGCAATAAATCTATCTTGCTACCCAATTCATGAGCTAGTGAGGTCGTCAAAAACACCAAGAGAAGGAATGTTGTCACTATTCAGCACCTCACTTTGTAGATTATCACAACAAATGATTCGATAATTGTCGATGAAAACTATGTTTTTCAAGAACTTGACACAACTATTATGGATGATAGTATCACATTTCAAACACTTCTTGCCCGTTAAGGCAGCACTTTTACATTTTTTTACAGGGTTTATTAGGAGCGATTTCATCGCACGTGTTACTACTTGTAGTCATGTTCAGTAAATCAGTAAATATGGACTGATGATACCGCCAACCCAAAATCCACACCAAACAGTGACTTTTTCGGGATGCACATAGTGCATAGTGCGTTNAAGCAATACGAAGAAAACGTCCGGTGTTGTGGAAAAACAATTCATGGTTTTTGCATCATTGCATCAGTTGAGTCATTGCTAGTTCGTAATTGTTTTGTAACAGTAATCATGCCTCAGCTACCGTATTCTTCAGATTTAGCCCCTGCGACTTTTTCTTGTTCTTAAGATTGAAGAGACCCATGAAATGACAGCGTTTAGCGACAATCGAGGAGATAATAACCTCAAGGACATACCAAAAGAGTTCAAAGGCATACCAAGAGAGCTCAAGGACATACCAAATAGTGCATTTCGGAACTGCTATGAGGATTGGAGAGGACGCTGCTTTAAGTGCATTTACCTTATTTTTTAATATACTTCGTATATTTTTAGCGGTTTTATTCCTCAAAAGCCTAGACTCACACAAAAATGCGTTATTTTGATGACATTTCCTAAAAAATGTTTTCAATATTTTTCTATTCTTTTTGAAGGAATCGGTTGTTCGAAATTTGTTGTATGGCAGAAAGTTACAGTGTTAAAGTCGCCTACTTCTTCTTGCACTTCAGTACTACATTTATTCAGTACTCATTTCTCATGATGATCCCCTAACACTTAGTAAGAACATCTAAAATCTTCGAAAATATAAGTTTTTATACGATACGCACGATTTTGAAAGAAAAACGAACATCTATTTTAACTTTAGCAGTTCGTTCTCAGGAGCCGATAAATAAAAAGATATCAAGAAAAAATATGATACACGTTTACTTACTGTAGTATTTCCGAAAATTGTTCTTGTTTCGTCTTCAGATTAGTTTCGCTGTTTTGCAAGTTCCTCTCCGACATTTTCAGCGCCTCCTCCAAACTGCTGATGGTCGATGCCTGATTCAGCAGTTCTTGTTCTTGCGATGATACCTGAGAAATATTTTACAGAGATAACGTATGTCTTGTATCTCTCTTACAGGAATCAAATGGTAAATATCGATGGTATACTGAGTAATCAAGCAAAAGTTACTTATGGTGTCCCACAGGGAACAGTTTTGGGCCCTGTTTCATTCACTATATACATCAATAGTTTGTTAACACTACAATCAGCAAGTGAAATTTTGAGTTTTGTCGATGATACAGCTGTAAAGTATATGTCAAACACGTGGGAACAACTTAAAATGAAAGCCGAAGTGGATTTCAACACAATCGTCAGGTGATTTGAACATAACAAATTAGCATTGAATGGGGACAAAACCAAATACCTCCTGAACTGATAATCTTCAAAATATGGGCCCTTCAAAAATAAACGAGGAAACTTCAATACCGGAGTATTATTTTTCGAAACATAATTTTCAAAATAAAATCAACATTATAAGGAATTTGAAATCAAGAGCAATTGCCATTTCCAATTCTGAATTCCATAACAAAAATCTCCAATTAATTGAGAATTACCTAGTAAAAAATAATTTTCCTAGAGCCCTTATTAGAAAAATAATTAAAGAAAGAAGATTCTCCTCCCAAAATACAGGGGTGAAACCCAAATATCAAAAAGTTCCATTTGTAGAAAATGTATCTGTTAAACTTGGAATGCTACTCAATACTAAAGATATAAAAGTGGCTTTTTCAAATTAAAATACAGTTGGAATACATTTTTTCTCGAAACAAAAAACTAAAACACCACAACAAATACAATCCAATATTGTGTACAAATTGAACTGTGGAAGCTGTCACAAATGCTATGTTGGTCAAACCGGACGGTACCTTAAAACACGAGTTTCAGAACACATGAGAGACTCTAAGAAACTGAATATGAAAAATCCCACAGCTCTCGTTGAACATGAAAAAGAATATGGACACATTTTTGATTTTGATCATTCAACTATTTTAGTAGATGTTCAACCATATTTATCAAAAAGACTTTTGGGCGAAATGATACATATCCTCAAATGCGATAGTGTTAACACTAGAAGGGATGTCGATGGCTTTAATACCGCATATTTTAATTTGATACGTGAAATACCTGAATAATTTACACTTTTTTCATTCTTTTTCTTTCTGCCGTTGATTAAAAAACAGACACCACCTTATCAGAATCAGAGATAAAGCCATTCGTTTTGTGTTGGTGTTGTCTCGAAAATTTGTTGTTTGCAATATGTTTTTTATTTTTCAAATACGTTTCTAATATGTCTGATGATTTTTAAAATAGTATTATCATCAACACGAAAAAACTACTTTTCGGTGAGTAATTCACAAGAAAACTCATTATTTCTTGTAAAATTGAAATAAGTTTTGTGGAAGGTATATTCATGAAAATTCTTTGTTATAGAGCCCTGAAGAAGAATTTAAGTAAATTCGAAACGTCGGCAAGAATATAATTGGTTTTTTAAGAAAAAAATTGATCCTGTTACCCAACCCCTGTGTCACAAGACCTCCCTTTCCATTTAATTTTTTTCCCAGATGGCGCCCAGTCGCCATCTTGAAAGTTTCATCTGTCAATTTCACTTTAAAAGAATGCGTTAATCCCAAATTTCAATTTTTTGCGTTGGCCCGTTCAAAAAATTAAGAGGGGGTACATTAAAGAAATGCACTGTACAATTAGTATTTTTTATTTTCTGTTATGTGAACACGACCGAAAAATATTCTTCCGAACAACCCACAAAGCACGTGGTACTCTCAAAGTAAATACACTGTTTTCGATTTCCAAGATGAGAAAATAAGAACGAAAAAGAGATTGCACGATATATCGAAAATAAACGTAATGTAATGCAACTTAAATTCATTCGTATCATCGAATCAACGTTCAAACGATGAAATAACCGAGTTTATTTATTTCTCGATGATGTCTATCGAGTCAGCGGCGCGTCTGGACGTCGGCTGGGGCGTCGCACGCTTCGGAAGATCAGGTTTCAAGAGGCGTCGGGCTAGTGAGTCAATACCGGCCGACGAATAGGTAATCGCTTATGAAAATAGCACCTGCTGATGACAATATTATCCAGTATTTTCCCTACGAGCCGAGGCGGTTTTTGTAGCCTGGAAATACAGTGTGTAAAGATAATTTTCCACTACCTGTCATCATTTAACCTTCAACTTATCTTATGAATCAATCTTCCATTCTAGACTACTTTCCTCGAGCTTTGAAGAAGGCGCTAATGTTGCCGTTACATGAAAAAGGCAAATTTCTATAATATGCTCTTTTTCTAAACTATTCGAAAAAGTCGTGGCCAACAGAATATAAGAATAGCTGGAAACAAGTTGTTTTGTGTTGCTTAGCATGGGTTTGTATGAAAAGGGATAATTTTCAGTAATTTTTTATAGAAAGGCCAATGGTGTGACATGGTGTGGTGGGTGAAAATGGTGTGAGAGATCGCTATCAACTTTTATCTCAATTCCATTTTACGAATATGAATGGACTGACCCGAAAATTTATAACAATTTCCATGATAATAATTAAAATATCAACATAGCATCAGATCAACTTCACAAGCTGTTACTGAGACAGATCACTTAATAGCAAAAAATCTAGACACACACGCACAATCCTATGCGACTTGTCAAGAGCTTTCGACAGTGTCTCACATGGCATCCTATTAAAACAGCTCCATAAATACGGGATACGTGGACCAGCTCTTCGACTCACTGAAACAATCCTTATGGACAGACAACAATACATATCCTACAATAATGTGACCTCCAGGACCATACAAATCAAGTATGATGTGCCTCAGGGTTCAGTTCTGGGACCACTGTTGTTTATAATTATGTACCCAGACGACTCAACTTTCTTAATCAGAGGCAGGAATTTAGAAGAGATAGTTAGAATGTCGGGTGAGACACTGTCACGAGATGAAGCTTATTTCAACGCAAATATTTTATCCTTGAATAAAAACAAAACTAAAGAAATAACTTTCTCAAAAAATATAGCAAATGATTAATCAGTCAAAATACTAGGATTTCACATAGATTCCAACTGAACTGGAAAGAACACGTCCAGGATTTGCAAAAAA